TATGCCATTGACCTAAAATAATTGCTTTGAGCATCGATAGACGATTATAGGGTCGTTGACCACCACGGTCTTCAATGTCCATCACATAGATTCGATGAATGATTTTTTCAATTCGTGGTCAGTTGATTAAACGATCCATCTTCATTAACGGCTGATCTTCGTTTAATCGTCCCCTTAATTCAATTTCCGCAAAACTTGGCTGCATGGCTTTAATTGTCAAATAAATATATGTTTATTATAAAATAATTTATTGTCGGTTGTGCAATAGTCTTATTATTGTTACACTATTGTAGCAATTTAAAGTTTCTATTTTTGTCATACCACTTCAGATCAATAAAAGTTCACATTTATTTGAAAACGGAAAGAAATACCATGTTAAAAAAATTGCTTGGCCTAGCACCACAACCTACTAGCGATGGTGCGTTCAGCCCTTCAGTATTGGCTCTGAAATTGGCGACATCGTCAAAAACCGACTATGACCATAGCGACTATGCGGATAAACTCAACCATACACATGCCAGACGAAAAATTCTAGTGTTGTGTACTCAAGAGCGTAATATGCCTATGGCTAACGGTACGCTATTTTCAACTGGCAACCATCCTGTAGAGATGCTTGTACCGATGTTACATTTTGAAAAAGCGGGTTTTGAGATGGAAATCTACACCCCCACGGGCGCACCAGTACAGATTGAAATGTGGGCATTTCCTCATGAAGATACAGATGTACAGCGCATCTACCGCGACTACAAAGCGCAGTTTGAGCAGCCGAAAAACCTGCACGATTTTGTGGCAAATGACATGGCGGCTGCCAAAAACTATGCAGCGATTTTTATTCCAGGTGGGCACGGGGCTATGCTGGGATTGCCAGAAAACCAAGATGTTAAAAAGCTGCTTTTGTGGACGCAACAGCAAGACCTGATGATGTGCGCAATCTGTCATGGCCCAGCGGCGTTACTGGCGGCGGCAATGGGTGAAGACGCAAAAAACTTTATGTATCGGGGTTACAAGATGACGGCTTTTCCCGATGCGGCAGACCGACAAACGCCACTGGTGGGCTATATGCCTGGGCATTTGACATGGGCATTTGGCAAGTGCCTGCAAGACCTGGGCGTGGAGATTGTCAATAAAAAAGCCGATGCCAGCGTTTTGCAAGACCGCAACCTTGTTACGGGCGCAAGCCCCAAAGCGGCCAACGCGTTTGGCAAGCTGGCAACCCAGGCCTTGCTCAAAAAAGAGAACAAACAGACTATTTGAGAAACCAGCTAAACAGGGCGGAGATGGATTAGTTGCACGCACAAAATAATCATGCCGTGACCCTCGTTAAATAATGACTATGCACCCACTCCACCAACGGGGCAAGGTGTGCAGCAAGTTGGTGGCCGCTCTTAGTAAGGGCATATTCCACCTGCAGCGGTTTATCTTGTAGCACCGTGCGGGTAAGCAGCGTGTCCGCTTCAAGCTGGCGCAAGGTGTGCGTGAGCATTTTTTGTGAGACGCCCTCGCAGGCGCGCTTTATTGCACCAAAGCGTTGCGGTGCTGCGTACAACAAAAGTATAACCATCACGCTCCATTTATCGCCTACGCGGTTAAGCAGCGCACGCGAGGGGCAAACGGCTTTGTAAATATTAGGAGCGGCTTGCTCCGCCTTGGCGTAGCTCTGTGCGATGGTTGGGGTTGATGGCTTCATATAAACACCTCTGCGCTTTGGTAGTTACCTCTACGTGCCTAATTGACTATTGCTATGGATGTATAAATAATATACCAGTTTCTTATTTATACCTTGCATTTTACAGCCAGTTAGATAAGGACGCAATACTCCCAGCAATGGGAGCAATGTATTTTTAATTTTTTAAAAGGAAAACCATGTTGAAGAAAATTATCGCTATTACTGCCTTACTTTGTGCCTCTCTTACCAGCTTCGCGGGGGAGATTTATCGATTTGATCAAGTTAAATGGCAACCCGCTGGTATTAAGGGCGTTGATATGGCTATTTTATGGGGCAAAGAAGAAGACAGCACCGCAGTGTATGCCTTTCGCATCCAGCCCGGAGTCATCATTCCCGCACACACGCACTCACGTGACTACTGGGGCGTAGCCGTGCAAGGTACGTGGGTGCATATCGATGCAAAAGGCAAAAAGGTAAAAACGGGTCAAGATGCCTTTGTGCGTATACATGGTAACGACTTGCACGCCGATAGCTGTGCAGGGCCCAAAGCCTGTATCAACATTATCGACTTTGATGGTGCGCGGGATTTTTTGGTACCCAAACAGTAAGACCCTGTATTAAAGCAAATTAAAGCAAATTAAAGCAAATTAAAGCAAATTAAAGCAAAAAGCATCTTCTCACGCTACAATTAGCCATCCTACATTCTAGGCAAGATGCCATGCGCACTACCCGCCCTCTTACCCATCTTACCCCTGCTGCCAACAGCTCTTATGCCGACTATTGCTGTGAACTATTGGGTAGCCTTGGGCATTGCACAGCAAAACGCATGTTTGGCGGGTTTGGCTTGTATGTAGAGGGTGTGATGGTAGGCTTGGTTACCTCTGACACCCTGTACCTAAAAGCCAGCAAAGCCACTAAGGCCAAGTGGCAAGGTACAGGGGGCGTCAGCCATATCGACGGTCGAATTTGCAATCACCCATAGAAAAACCACCCCGTGGGGTGGTTTGGTTTCAAGTGGACTAAGGCCTGCTACGCGGCGTCGCCATTAGCTTGAAAATAATGGCATTTGGTATACTAGGATGTGACACGCGACTTGTAGCGGAACATTGATTTTGGACACCACAGTTACCTGAAAATGAAAATGCTTCTATCCACCAAGTTGTTCCATCAAAAGAAGGAACGCTAATATATTGTCCAACTTCAACCTCGGTCATGGCGATAGTCACTTTCCCTTGACCATACCGGATAATGCAATTAGCGATGGTAAATGTACTGCCATCAGACATAGTCACAGTAGGATCGCAGGTATAAAGTCTTGTTTGTGCTGTATTGGTTTCCACTACACTCAAGGGCACGATTATATTGGTTACTCCACCAGTATTGATCGCCGCAGCGACACTACCCGCGTAGCGACTAAATGTTGTTGCACTTGATACTGTCCAATTTGTTGATGCCGCAACCGTTATAGTGCTAGGTAGTGTGGTAGCACGCAGTAGTGTTGCACCTTCTGCTGGAACATAGTAACCATCGTTTGTATTACATGCTACAAAACTACTACTTGGTAATTGACAGCGAATAAATACCTCATGGATGTTTGGAATCGTCAGTACCACAGAGCCACCCACAGGGGTGGTGGCAACAAGCGCGCCATGAATATACCACTGTATAGTGGCCGTATTGGGCATATTGATGACGGTTGTAACTTCTGCGGGCAGTGACATTCTTCGGGTAAAAACTGACCCATCCGTCAAAGCTACCTTTCCCACTACACTGCAGGGCTTCAGTTCACCGCTGTCAGCAGCTTTACAGCTCACTTGCATGGTGCCACCAGCATCCAATTTGAAATCCCAATTCCAGGTGGAGAAATGGCTTACAGTAGCTTGTACGGCTAGGCCAGTTGTCGTACCCCCCGCTCTGGCCACCACAGTACCATTACCCTCTTGCAACCACACACCTTGCGCTTCGTCAAAGTGCCACAGGGGGATGGTACTGCCTATACTTAGGGCATTGCCGCC